TCTAGTACAAGAACTAAAGGCCAGTGAGAACTAACATGAGATTGGCGAATTAAAATCAAACCGAGAAAAAACTTTATAAAAAAAACAAATGATGTCAGATAGAATAAAACAGATCAGCTTTAGTTATTGTCAACGACAGCAAAACTGTCTACTGCTCGTCGTCTGAACATCAAGTGTAAGTTATCAATTGAACGTAGTATTTTGATGGTTTATGTTATCCATGTTAGAAACAAAAACGAAACTATGCGGAAAACCTTGGATTATCCTAGTACAAGAACTAGAAGCCGGTGAGAATTAACATAAGATCAGACGGGCAAAAAAATTAAATCAGACAGCAAAAATCAGAAAATAAAAAAGCAAACAATTGAAGTCACTTAAAAATAAATCAATCAGCTTTAGTTTATGTCGACAACAGCAAAAATGTCTCCAGCTCGTCATCTAAACATCACGTGAAAATTAACAAAAAAAAGAATACAAAATTTGAAAACCAATATAAGATGAGCATTGAAAAATTAAGATCAAAAAGCAAAAATTAGGTAACAAATAGAAAAAAAAACGAAATCAAATAAATTTATTCGGATCAGCATTGATTATTGTCAACGACAGCAAAACTGCCTCCATCTCGTCATCTAAACATCACATGAAATCTAACAAAAAAAGACACAAAATTTAAAAAGCAATAGGATATGAGTATTGAAAAATTAAGATCAAACTGCAAAATTTAGTTAACAAATAGAAAAAAAATGAAATCAAATAAATTTATTCAGATCAGCATTGATTATTGTCAACGACAGCAAAACTGCCTCCAGCTCGTCATCTAAACATCACGTGAAGGTTATCAATTGAACATACTATTTTGAAGGTTTATACAAACCAGGTTGAAAACAAAAAATTATCAGGCATATATTGGATTGTTCTAGTACAAGAACTAAAGGCCAGTGAGAACTAACATGAGATTGGGGAAAAGAATTAAAATCAAACAGAAAAAATCCTTTTAAAACAAGAAAACAAATGAAATCAGATAGAATAAAACAGATCAGCTTTAGTTATTGTCAACGACAGCAAAACTGCCTACTGCTCGTCGTCTGAACATCAAGTGTAAGTTATCAATTGAACGTAGTAATTTGATGGTTTATGTTATCCATGATAGAAACAAAAACGAAACTATGCGGAAAACCTTGGATTATCCTAGTACAAGAACTAGAAGCCGGTGAGAATTAACATAAGATCAGACGGGCAAAAAAAATTAAATCAGACAGCAAAAATCAGAAAAGAAAAAAGCAAACAATTGAAGTCACTTAAAAATAAATCAATCAGCTTTAGTTTATGTCGACAACAGCAAAAATGTCTCCAGCTCGTCATCTAAACATAAGGTGAAAATTAACAAAAAAAGAATACAAAATTTGAAAACCAATATAAGATGAGCATTGAAAAATTAAGATCAAAAAGCAAAAATTAGGTAACAAATAGAAAAAAAACGAAATCAAATAATTTTATTCAGATCAGCATTGATTATTGTCAACGACAGCAAAACTGCCTCCATCTCGTCATCTAAACATCACATGAAATCTAACAAAAAAAGACACAAAATTTAAAAAGCAATAGGATATGAGTATTGAAAAATTAAGATCAAACTGCAAAATTTAGTTAACAAATAGAAAAAAATGAAATCAAATAAATTTATTCAGATCAGCATTGATTATTGTCAACGACAGCAAAACTGCCTCCAGCTCGTCATCTAAACATCACGTGAAGGTTATCAATTGAACATACTATTTTGAAGGTTTATACAATCCAGGTTGTAAACTCAAAATTATCAGGCAGATTTTGAATTGTTCTAGTACAAGAACTGAAGGCCAATGAGAACTAACATGAGATTGGCCAAACGAATTAAAATCAAACAGAAAAAATCCTTATAAAACATAAAACAAATGAAATCAGATAGAATAAAACAGATCAGCTTTAGTTATTCTCAACGACAGCAAAACTGTCTACTGCTCGTCGTCTGAATATCAAGTGTAAGTTATCAATTGAACGTAGTAATTTGATGGTTTATGTTATCCATGTTAGAAACAAAAACGAAACTATGCGGAAAACCTTGGATTATCCTAGTACAAGAACTAGAAGCCGGTGAGAATTAACATCAGATCAGACGGGCAAAAAAATTAAATCCGACAGCAAAAATCAGAAAATAAAAAGCAAACAATTGAAGTCACTTAAAAATAAATCAATCAGCTTTAGTTTATCTCGACAACAGCAAAAATGTCTCCAGCTCGTCATCTAAACATCACGTGAAAATTAACAGAAAAGAATACAAAATTTGAAAACCAATATAAGATGAGCATTAAAAAATCAAGATCAAAAAGCAAAAAATAGGTAAAAAATATTAAAAAAATGAAATCAAATAAAGTTATTCAGATCAGCATTGATTATTGTCAACGACAGCAAAACTGTCTACTGCTCGTCGTCTGAATATCAAGTGTAAGTTATCAATTGAACGTAGTAATTTGATGGTTTATGTTATCCATGTTAGAAACAAAAACGAAACTATGCGGAAAACCTTGGATTATCCTAGTACATGAACTAGAAACCGGTGAGAATTAACATAAGATCAGACGGGCAAAAAAAAATTAAATCAGACAGCAAAAATCAGAAAATAAAAAGCAAACAATTGAAGTCACTTAAAAATAAATCAATCAGCTTTAGTTTATCTCGACAACAGCAAAAATGTCTCCAGCTCGTCATCTAAAGATCACGTGAAAATTAACAAAAAAGAATACAAAATTTGAAAACCAATATAAGATGAGCATTGAAAAATCAAGATCAAAAAGCAAAAATTAGGTAAAAAATATTTAAAAAAATGAAATCAAATAAATTTATTCAGATCAGCATTGATTATTGTCAACGACAGCAAAACTCCCTCCAGCTCGTCATCTAAACATCACGTGAAGGTTATCAATTGAACATGCTATTTTGAATGTTTATACAATCCCGGTTGTAAACTAAAAATTATCAGGCGGATATTGGATTGTTCTAGTACAAGAACTAAAGGCCAGTGAGAACTAACATGAGATTGGCGAAAAGAATTAAAATCAAACAGAAAAAATCCTTGTAAAACAAGAAAACAAATGAAATCAGATAGAAAAAAAACAGATCCGCTTTAGTTATTGTCAACGACAGCAAAACTGTCTACTACTCGTCGTCTGAACATCAAGTGTAAGTTATCAATTGAACGTAGTAATTTGATGGTTTATGTTATCCATGTTAGAAACAAAAACGAAATTATGCGGAAAACCTTGGATTATCCTAGTACAAGAACTACAAGCCGGTGAGAATTAACATAAGATCAGACTGCCAAAAAAAACAATTTAAATCAGACAGCAAAAATCAGAAAATAAAAAGCAACCAATTAAATTATTCAGACCAGCATTAATTATTGTCAACGATAGCAAAACTGTCTCCAGCTCGTCATCTAAACATCACGTGAAGGTTATCAATTGAACATACTATTTTGAAGGTTTATATAATCCAGGCCGGAAACAAAAAGTATAAGGCAGATATTGTAAGCTAACGAATACGTGTAAGCTAACAGAAGGAAGGATACAAAATTAGAAAATCAAAATGAGATGAGCATTGAAAAATAACAATCATACAGCAAAAATTAGCTAAAAACTAGAAAAAACTACAATCAAATAACAATTTTCAGATCAACTTTAATTATTGTCAACAACAGCAAAACCCTCTACAGCTCGTTATCTGAAGATCAAGTGAAATTTATCAATTGAACAAACTATTTTGAAGGTTTATGTTATCCATGTTAGAAAAAAAGAAACGAAATTATGAGGTAGATCTTGGATTAAACTAGTACAAGAGCAAAATGAAATTATTCAGATCAGCTTTAACTATTGTCAAAGACAGCGAAACTGTATCCAGCTCGTCATCTAAATATCACATGAAAGCCATCCACAAAAAGGAGATCTTCTTTTGAAAAGCATTATAAAAACCAAAACAGAAAAATTTGAAGCACAAAAAAATCAGAGCATCGATTTTTTATACCAAAAATCCAGCTACAAAAATCAACCCGGGAAAAATAGCTTCCAATTTCAAGCAGAAAAAATACACAAAACACTTTTAATATTTGTCAACGACAGTAACACTGTCTCCAACGCGTCATCTCAAGATCACGTGAGACCTTTCAGCTGAACGAATGATTTTTCGAGAAGCAGCAATTTATCAAAGCCTAAAAAATGGGCTTGGAACTATCAGAACACTTTTATAGCAATTATCCAGTCAAAAAAGTAAAAAAGGAAAAGAAGAACAACTCAGTTACACAAATAAACACAAATCAGAGTAAATGTTGCCAATTACAGCTAAATCAAACGCCAATTTAAAAAAAGAATGCAGATTACACGATAATCATTGAGTCTTAAAACGCATTGGAAAACAACTAACGAGCGGCAAATAAGGAAATTGGATCGACTACTGTTGAACCGAAAACGTAACTGTTCATTAAAAAATTTGAGCTTCAAAATATTAAATGTTTTTACGACCCTTCCGTACTGAAACACAAAAAAGCATAACAATATATTTGGCACTCGAAACTATGCAATATAGGTTGACTAAGCCAAAATAACATCAACTAAAACTGTCTAATCGAAAAAAAAAAGAAATGAATTCACAAATTACAGCAGCACTTTCAATTATAGTAAATACTGTTTAAATCAATATAAAATCTATGCTTTGGAAAGCAAGCCCAGAAAACCCAAAAGTACCACATATTATAATTGGCATTTCAAAAAACGGAAATTGATCCGACGGAAACTCGGACAAAACCTAAGAAACCGAAAAAAAATATAAAATCAATGCCTGAAGTGAACTTCACCTAATTACTACCTAATCTCAACAATGGTAGAAGGTAGTCGGAACAATCAGGGATTCAACGAGAAGTAGTGTTATCCAGTAAAATCCAGAATGCTATTATGGTTTAAACTCATACTTGCCTCAAAAATTTTGAAGTGATTGTTGATGGCAGCCAAATGCAAAGACGTTGACTTGCTGGATACGCAAAACCCATTAACTGCAGCGCCATGCTGAATTAAGGCTGTCACTACTGAAAAATGGCCTTCTTTGCAAGCTACATGCAGGGCTGTTTCTCCACTACTGTTTATATTTTCGATGAAAGCCCCTGAGTTTACAAGCATACGAACAATTTCTGTGTGGCCACTTTTAGCAGCTACGTGTAAAGCCGTCTGGCCGCTTTGATTTCGCCAATTGAGGCTCTTTTTATCAAACTGCGATGAGCACAAAATTGCACGGACTGTTTTAACATCCCCATATTTGCATTGCTCGTGTAGTAAAGAATTTGGAGTGAATGCAAGATAATCAAAAGGAGCTACATCCCCAGGTACGAATGAAGTAAGAGATTGGGGTAACAGCGCGTCTTTGTTGCTCTTGTTTTGAGGATTTTTCAGATAATTCAAGAGAGAATCTAGTCCAATGAATGGTTGAAGGTTGTTATCATCAAGACAGAACACACAAAACACATCTCTCAATATTTGATAGTGAACAATAACTTGGTTAAAAACAGCTGACAGAACAACAGATTTACTGTATGAGCTGCTTTCTCGGATTAGATAACTTCCGTTTGTTTTAGACAATAATAAGCTTTCAGCTCGCTCACGTGACAACTTTCCATGGTACCATGAAAGCTCGGATAATTTGGAATGAAGAGACCGTTCAGTTTTCAATTCTTCATCAACATTAACGTATGGTCTGTTCATCTGGACTGGGCGTATTGCTTTTCATTTGACAGTCAAATTAGAGATAGTTTGATACCAAAAACTTGAGCTGTCATTTTTTCTGGTGATCATCAGATAGAACCAAATTTTCCAATACGGCAAGCTTGAGTGAAACATCTTTTCTGAATTAGAAAGAAAAGATCTAGCGCCTAACGCATCTCCGCTGCTTCGAATTTTGACACATGAAAAACCGCATATATTGGAAACAAGCTCTGCAGCCTTTGAGTGTACTGACAGCACCCACTTGCAGGGTTGCTAATATTAAAATCCATAAACTTTTAATCAAATTTTGAAAAACACATAAAAATATCATATCTCGAAAATTTGAAGGGCCTTTAGAGAAATTTGAATTCCAGATTTTCAACTACTGAGATGACCTGGGAGCACCCCACTAAAATATTTAGAATTTCAAGATTCATGAATTTTTTAAAACCAAGTTTCCCAAAAAAAAAATTATAAAACCGTCATATCTGAGAAATTAAAAAAATTTGAGCATTCTATTTACAAGCACGAATCGGAACGCCTCGAAGTGCCCTGACAATAAGGTTGTCTCACTATAAGTGAAATTGTTTGTGGGTTGTTCTTTGAAATTTTTAGAAAAAAAAACGTCACAAACAGGAACTAAAAGGTTTTGTGAAATTGTTTGTGGGTTGTTCTTTGAAATTTTAAGAAAAAAAACGTCACAAACAGGAACTAAAAGCATTTGAGTAGTCGGATTCAGACTCAAGGCTTCCAACCCCTGAGAGTACCCATACTGTACCCAACAAAAAGGTTATGAATTTTTTCTTAATTTTTCCCTATATTGGTTTTCCATATATTTTTTTTTTTTTATTCTATCTTCTTTCTTATTATCTGTAGAGGTAATCAGAAGGTCAAAAGTATCATAGTAACCGAGGTTACAGTCATGAGTCCCTTCATCATGTATTCCAGTCAAAATCCTTGGAATTTTCTAGATATGGAAGTGATAATGATAAAAGAAGATGTCAAGTGTTTAAGTCCTTTTCATTTAAAATCGATACGGGTTACGCTTCTTCAATAAGAACACGCAACTCGACACGAGATAATATAATATACAAGTGTTACAAATAAAAAATTTCGTCGAAAGTTATTTTGTCATTTATTGTTCCGAGTACGCAAGCGGCGTTCGCAATCTGTATTGCCAGGGAGATTCTCTGTTTTAAAAAGCTGCCTGCTCTGGGTTCCTCAGTGCATATGCTTAGGTTCTTACAAAGCTTGCTCAAAAAAACTTCTGTGCTGGGGCCGGCCGCGCCCTGAATTTCAAAAGCTAGCGGTTGAAAAAGATATCCATCATTTACAAGATCTTTATATTTGTCAATTTTTCGCTCTTCCGCTTCAGCGGCAGCCGTACCAGGGTTACAAACAGACCCGGCATTAATCCTACAAGGGGCTAAGGAGTCTACTACCGTTACATCCCACAAGAGCTGCTTACCATCAGCCCATGGAACGAGCGTCAAACCGTCTGGTCGCTTCTGATCGGTCCTGTAGAGGTGTCGTGGTTCTAAAACAGACGGAATGTGAGTAGATGATAGACTCTGCTTTATAAGGGGATTCAGGTTTGAATGCCTAGAGAATCTCCCTGCACTTTTGAGGCAAGAAAGACCATGCCAACCATCCTCGGTAACGTCTTTTCCGCACACGCATTTATGCCGTTCGCATATTTTTGATCCTAATCGAAGTCCTATCGCAATTCTGAGTTGTTGGTTCGACAGTTTTAACCTTAAATTTTTGCAGGGGATGACGTTCAACCATTGGGATCCAAATCTATCTTGGAACGCGTTGAACCTTTTCACGTCCGTTGGTTCGAGTCGTAAAATCAAGTCTGCAATTTCGCTGTCAAAAATTGGCTCCGTCCAATTTTTTTGGATTTCATTTTCCGGAGCCATTTCAATTTTTCCAAGGTCAAACCACCGTTTAAGCGCATCATCATAGGTTCCATCCACATGCTCCAAACCAAAGATGTCGCTCAAGGCATCTTTCGCTCCTACTGCTGAGGCTAAGAAAGCGGGTAAAGCGAGTAGACGAGCGGAAGAAACGCCCAAGCCACCTTTGGCTGCCGGGAGAACTGCTTGTAAAAACTGGTTATCATCCATTTTCACGTTAGTGACCTTGCATAACGAATTTCTTAGTAATTTATCGTAGCGTTCCAAAAAATCATTTTGCAAAAAACAAGGGCTCGTACGCAAAAAATATAGGAGTTTTGGCATGCTAAAGCAATTTTTCAGGAGGTAAAAACCATAATGGGCGTCTAGTTTGTCAATGACATCCGAGATTTTTTCAAGCTCCCTAATTTTTTCGTCGAGTAATTCTTTTCGGCAAAGTTCGCCGATTGGAGATCCTAAAATGAGGAGTTCTTCTTTTGTTTTTATTTTTATTTTGGGGCATATTTTTCGAAATTGTGTTAAAATTGAATTATACTGTGTACTAGTAGTCGGTCCCAAAAAACAAAGTTCACACTTCTCAGTGTTTAAGCTCAGGCCGTAAATTTGTTCCGATTTCAGAATGTTTTTAAGGTCCCGGAGTACTACCTTATAGTCGTCGGCTAAATTCCCATCATCTAAATACCAGATGTTAATTTTCGACTCCAACTGTTTTCCATATATTAATTTTTCCATAAAACTATGGAAAATTTCATGAAAAACGTCATATCGAGAAAACTGCAAGGTTTGAGCGGTCGCATTTGGTTGCGAGATATGCATCTCCTGAGGTTAAACTCACGGTACACATTTTGTGTTGAGATTTTTTGAAAACTTTAAAAATCTATGTTTTCTGAAATTTGAAAAAATCACAAAAAAAATTGTGACATTCGACCAGAATGGCGTCTAAAATGCATGGCAGAATCGAAATTTTATCTGCAACAATTGGAGTGGGAGAATTGGCTGTTTCAGAGGATTAACGGTCTTCTTTGATAAACTGAACGGATTGGGATAGGTCGGTTTTAGCTGATTTGTAAAATTTTAAAAATTCGATTGCAGACATGTGACCATTTTTATTTTCGCGAATGCAGAAAAAGCAAAAAAAATCAGAAGAACGATTTTTGCTGTGATTTTCGCGATTTTCGCAGAAAAATTTAGTCCCAAAAAATTTTTGGTTTTTTTTTAAAACTTACATGTCTAATCAAAATTTTGACTCAGAAACTTCCAGACAAATTAATTTAAAACTGTTTAATTAATTTTAGAGGTTAAAAGTAATTTAATCTTAATATTAATTTAGAGGTCAACTGTGATTGGCTAATTTATTAACATGACGATTCAGAGCCAAAGTGTTTGTTAAATTTTGTAAATAACTTTTGTAAACTGATGTTTTATCGTCATTTAGATTAGTTTTTTGTAAAAATCCTGACGATGCTCGTAGTTGCGAAAACGTTTGAAATTTACTTTTTAGCAAAAATTTCTTCAATTGTATTTATATATTTGTGATAAACCAAAAAGCGAAGAGCTCAAAATTCCAACTGTTTTCCCATTAAAAGGCCAGTATAATTTTTTTAAATGATTTTCATCAATGTACAGAGAACTTTTATAGTTTTTTTATCGTTAAGTAGAATATGGCCAATTTTTATTTGAGTTAACGAAATGTTTCATTTTGTAGCAGCTAGTTCCCTGTAGCATCAACATCCTTAACGCATGTGAGAAAAGTAATACGAGAGCCTTATTACAGCAATTCCTGAGCTATCCCTTAAAAACAACTTGCTGAACCAAAGAAAGAACCTCCGAAGATTACTGGAAAACAGTCCACGGAAGGAGAAAAAAGTGGTTGTTTGGCACGACGTTGTGAACAACATCATTAGCAGCCACAGAACAAACAACTATCGGCCAGCCGGTATCGAGGAGCTGACAAACTATTTAAAGTCGAAGAAGCAGCAGATGTTGGCGATCAACTTTTGCAGAAGGTAAGGAAAGCCAGATTTGTTTAGTCAGCTTCTCGGCACAAGAGTTCTCACTATTCCAGCTACAAAACAGCTACTCTCCAAGAGAAAGCAAAAGAACCCGGAGCAGCTCAAGGAATATTTGAAGCTGCACCAGAGTGCTGAAATGGAGCTGAAATTTCTGCGATTGGTAGGGGCACACAAAGGAAAACTGTCAGAGCTGATTGGCAATATGAGGGGCAAACAACATGGACCATCACAGACTAGGACGAAGGCGAAAGCAAGACGTGAGCAGAAGCTGAAGGCGGAGGAAGTGTCTGCGCTTCAAAGACAGGGGTGAGAAGAGTGTGATTTGTTTTGCTTTGGCCCTTGTCAGTTTCATTACTCGCGGCCTGCAAAACAATGAACACAGTCTTTTTGCCTGCTGTTTGGCTCAGACAATTTTTAAAAACAAAACTGAATTGGAAAATTGTGTTAGAATATTTAAAATTCTTTAAAAAAGTTCAAGTATCTGTACATAGACCGAATTTTCTGAGAAAATGTCTAAAAAACGATCTAATACCGGACTTTTGAACTTAGGGTCCCCGAGAACGGGTTTTTTTTCGGACTAGGCTGTGCATAAATTTCAATTGGAACTACTAAGAACTGAAACTTCTGGGGCAAATGAGGATAGGAAAAGGTACGAGGAGATTCTAATGAAAGCAAGATCACTGGTGCAAAAAGAAATTGACGAACAGTGGTGGGCATCCATTTTCCGCTCCGTGAGGCGTCAAGTTGAGGTAAGCTTAAAGACAAAAACAGAAAATTATAGAAAAAAGTTCATAAGAAAAACTGTCCGAGAGACAAGAGAAACCTCTCGGGGGGAGAAATGAGCGGTCAGTTAAGGTACTAGTTAACATTGATGGTTATATGAAGTGCTATCAAATGGGCCCGAAGCAACCCAATAGAGACAAATTTAACGAAACACACTTTTTGGCGGATATCAACATTTTCCTCTCACAATTGAAACGTCAAAAAACATCATGTGAAACGTTATGTGAAATAGAAGCCGCGGCAAAGGCATTTGCAAATACTTAAGGCAAACCCCAAGAGACAAAGCCGTTGAAAAAACGAGGAAAAAACTCAAAATTTATTGGGTTGCTGGCTGTGCCTTTTGATAAAGGGGTAGGTTTTTGGATAATGAGGAAACAAACGTACGAATCCAAGCTGTAATCTTTGTTGCAATCTGCTCAGTT